AACTAGAGTCGCATCTCAACAGCCATGAATTTATTTATTGTGCACTTAAGGAGACTTCGTACTTTCCTTGGTGGACTTCAACTCATTGAAACTTACTTGTGAACAATATATAGTGTGACTGGCGTTGGTTTCTGAACTTTACGTCTTTCTCTTGAAGTTTCCGCAATGCGCCTCAAATTTCGAAGGAACTAAAATTCAACTTGGCTCGTAACGAATAAACATTATAAACAAAGTTAGATTCTTAAATATTTGTTTAAAAATATGCACATTTAGCCCTAACGCAATGTAATTTAGCTTCCATCCAAATTGTTGAAAATAAATAAAATAATACAAATTGGGGTGAAGCGTTGAAAAGCAGTGAACAACTCAACATAAATAACTAAGCATTTGTTAAATAAATGGTAAACGCACGAAAGGGTTAGTCTTTCATATGCGTAAATTCTTTGTTCATATTAAGAGACCATTATGGAATAGTATTAACAAAATATAAGGCCTGCTACACATTTCGTTGTTAATTATAAATGTGTATCTGCATATGCATATGCATATGCCCGAATGACTGCATGTGTCTCTGTCAGTGACTCATGTCAGTGACTCATCCAATAAAAAATCACTTTCATTTCATAAACAAACTTTTTCCAATGTTCTAACATTCGTGCCTCAACGTTATGAAAATGAAGAAATGTAACCATTACATAAACGGAGAGCCTGAGAACATATGCATCCAGCAAACAAGTTGCTTGAAGCAACTCGTATTTAGTGAAGATTATTGGATCTCGCTGGTTTATTCGTAATCGTAACAGAATAAAGACGCCGACAAAATCAAAGGCTGTGATTGTTTTGCCAGGTTTCGTACTTACTCGGTCCTTGTTTTAAATTACCTGGATAACAATTCTTCTAATATTACTTGTTAGATTGGCTCATTTTGTGAAATATATTATCACAGACTTGGTAATTTTATGCAGATGAAAACGTTACACAAACTTTTACATAATACAGACTTCTTCAACCAGCAAAGTCCCATGAAAAACCAGGAGAAACAAAGTTATCCCATGCAACCAGATTGGACGCATGATTATGATTTGGAAATTCTCATATGGGGTCAGAGGTTGTGGAACGTGTCCATAAATTTGATGCTTGAGTGGGATTAACCAGACTGATTTTAGTTGGTCGAGAAAAGCTCCTCTCTAAATAATAAATAATACAAAGAGACAATTGGGTTGCGTACATTGTAGTGATTGAGACATTTATCAAATAGGCAATAGTTACAGAAAGTGGTTCAGGGGATGATGCTGCCAGTTCGTCAATGCAAATTCTCGACGCCTGCTAGATACATAAATAAGTAATCCTTCGTATAATTTAGGACGTAACTTGTTCAGGCAGGGATTCATGCTACTAGATAATTCAACTAAATAAGCTCAGGTGTCGATTGCAGTGACTGTTTTTCACTTGTGATGATGGCAGCTGTAAATTAGTTGTGGGAGCCACGTAATTGCATTACATCATGATGATCCAAGTGACAGAAATGTGTTTCGACGGCTTTTTCCAATTTAAGTGCCACACATCACTTCAATAAACTGGCCAACTGCTGCAGTGCATTCCTTATTGGATTGTCCGACCTGAGTTTTCTTCGCATTATCACAATTTGCTACGGTTGTAGTGTAGGCTACTCTTTGCAATTAAAGCGCCCTTCTTCCTTCTGGCATTTCGAGGTATCAGCATGTACACTTGACCCATCGGACGGGATGGACGTCTAACTTTTTAACGAATGTATCATCATTCAAAAATTAGTACTTACAATTTACAATCAAAACATAAATCCATCCAACCATGCAATTTGGCAATTGAAGTCCTATGTCCTTCCAGTACGTACGTAATATAGAATCCAACACCACCTTCAAAGTCTCAATTAGCTGCTCTTGGTGTTCACAAACGGTTTTCTTCCAAACTCGGCTCATCGTCATTCACTTTTCATCAGAAGGGTCACTCTTTCCCCTTTTTTATGTATGTGTATATACATTTATGTATGTATTATTTATACGCTTGATACATTCAACGGTCGAAAAGAGCCATTTTCTGAAAGGCATTTTTTATCTCTCTGTTAAAACAAAGCCTTCTCGAGAGGTGTCAAGTGGACCTGCCCTTGTGCCGTAATAAAGCTCGATAATGAGATTCCAAATCTGTAAATTGGTTGCTTGGTTGGAATGCAATTCTTGCATAACAAGATGATTTGAATATCCTTATTTGTAAAGCATTGCATTAAATAGTTGTCCATGATATTCAGCCGCTCACCCTTGAAACTCTAAATAAAAATAAAACTCTTTGTGTAACTCCATCCTCCTCCTCATCCTATACGGATAATATGTGCATGCATAATATGTAGATCTATCTAAATGCTCGGCAGATCGTTAGCACTGGATGCTTTTGTAAATTGTGAGGATAAAGATGGAGATGTCATGTTAGCCTTGTGCCCATGGAAGAACAGAGAATTGGGGATGAGTCAGGAAAAGTTGAGAACAGAGGACGATGGTGGATTGTAATATTATTGCATTGTGGGAGCAACAATGGTGAGGGGCCATTCGAGAACAGGCAAAGAATATAATGCATAATGCATCCCAAAAGACGTGGGACTGAAGGCACTACAATAAAGTGATGGAACACAAGAGACGGAAAGGATTCTTTTATTTGAAATATTTTTTACCCATTGTTGGTGTGATTGTTGATTAGATTGGATTGCTTCATGGCTTGCCTGTCATGTCACTCACTCGTCCTACAGATTTATATAATATCGTTTTCTCTAATTTCAAAGTTACAACGGGTCCAAAAAGTTGTTAGAAATACGCAACTTGGTGAACTCCAATCTAAAGGATGAGAAGTTTCTGATTGTTTTCATGCGATTTTTACACGTGTATCATACGGGGAGGCACGTTCGTGAGAAAGGTGGCCGTCGGCCATGTCAAGCCATCGAGCTACATATGTTAAGTGTGTACATATGTAAAGGTTTCGAAAATTGAGAATTTTGAACATTATTTTATTATGCAAATTCATATTGATTCTGGCAGTTTGCAGGCAGATTAAATATAAAATGCATTTAGCCAAACGTCTCAAGTTTCTCTTCATCCACAAACTTCAACAAGTAGTTGTTGACACCCATGGACTGAGAGAGCTCAAACATTAAACAAGAAGCACTTTCTACTACTTTGTTATGACCGTCGAGTTAATTTCTTCGGCAATGTGATAACATTTAACAACTTTTTTTATATTTCTTTTATTTTTCATCTCACTCGGACCAACAAGTTTCTTGTTACGCCGATGTATTTTAAATGCTGCTGTTTAATATTCGAAACCGCAGCCGTTGAATCGTTTTGTCCGTCATCCGTAAAATAGTTACATGGCTTTAGAGATGTTGGCGTGGTTGTAAAATCTGGACGAACTCCACCTCCTGGATAAATTGCTGGCTGGCTGACTGACTTGCAGCGTCCACGAGTAAAGAAATTCTTTATCTCCAACTTTGAGAAACTATAAATAAAAATCAGTCACGTTGGGCAGAAAGTATTTACAGCAAAAAATGTACAAGCAAATAAAAGTCATCCGGCCCATTTCTTGTCCTGTTTTGTGGAACAGGAAAATGTAATCTGAAAGATAACCCCATAATTGCCTGAGTACCAGCAAACACACCATTTTACGTCAACACCACTTTCCGGATTATCGCAAAGCCTTTTGTCCCATTCCAATGAATTTATGTCTCAAATCCTATTACCGTCCTCTTTACTGCCTGTTTTGACTTTAATACTCTTGAGGACGACAAAATTAAAAACTTACGGTCATCATCTCTTCATAACCGATTGTTGTGTTATTTTCATTTTTCATGTCCAATCTCATGTTCATTGTACTCTTGAACTTTTCATTGCTCACAAGACAAAGGCCTCATTGGTTGGAGATAATACGGGAGTGTGGTGTTTTGTCATGTAAATTCAGCATCTTAAATGGTGTGACGGTGGTGGCAGGCCACATATAAAAAACAACATTCGACATTGGACTAAAGTGGACATTTCAGTGTCAGTGATTCATGACCAAAGTTTAATATTCATCCCCGGGGAGAGTCACACAGGCTTCGTTTATTTATGGCATTTCTTAAGACAACAGACAACATCATAAGTAACGCTTCATTCGTCCACATTTTCTTCAGAGTCAGGGACACTGTGCACGAATACTATGTACACGTAAGTACACACAGTATTATACATATATTTTTGTTGGCTTGTCTCTTGTCAAGCTCCTCAGATCGAGGTTGCTGCGAGGGTTGATGTCACCGGTGGTAGAGCGATGGACCGAATTTTCCATGATCATGATCAGCATGAGACATTAGCCAGTCTCCAAGCAAAGTTTAAAATAATTTCGTGTCCGGTCCTCAAAAAAAGCGTCCAACGTCGAGATGGAGAAGTTGGAATTTTTAGCCATTTACAAGAGAACACCTCGAAGAGATTGTACGCAAGAAGTGAAACAAGAAATCGAGAAAAGGTTTTAGCCACCTGAAAATATTTACGAGTATGTGTGCTGGCTGTAATAGTATGCGTTGCATGAAAATTAAACCTGTTTTGTCCCTGTTTCATGGATACTGGTGGATTGAATGTCGGGTTCGGTTGTGCTGCTCACTCTTCGTGGTGTTATCTCGGTGTTATTTATGCCCTTTGACTTCTGCTGAGCTGCCGAGGGAGAAAATTATTCTACGTATTTTTTTGTCGTATAGTCTTATTGTTCAGCCGTTTCTAGATAATAAGAAAGCGTTGAGTTTCACGTATATCATTTGTAGAGGTTTAGAGTTCTTGGCTTTTGGCTGGGTGGAATTAACCCACAAATTTTGCAACCACAATGCTTTACCAATGAGTAGTGCATATGTAGATATGTGCCCTCAGTACATCCAGTAATTGGACCCCTCGGAAAGGGTGCTTTACCAAAAAATCATTAGTTAATGTATGTTTAGACATGAGTTCTACATATCGGGTGATTAATGAATTTTTATTTTCCAGTGTCTAAGACGCGTTTTAAGTACTTTTAAACTGCGCATTCAAAATAATTGCTAACACAGCAGAGTTAAAATTCCTATTTTATATATCCACTCAAGTATCCAGTTACATTAGGTTAAGTGTATTTTGAAGATATTGTTATGGAGGAAATAATCATTGCCAAAGTGTGACGTGAATGTAACGTGATAACCCGCGTGCTGGAAAAGTGAAATTATAACGTATGTAATGAGGGTTATCGTTCACCTCAAGCATTAAAAAAACATTGACACGAGTTCGTCTTACCCAAATTACACTTTTTTTGCTTAAAGGGGCGAAACAGAATCAACTTGTTGTCCATCCTTTTATGATAGGTTTGAGTGTCCTTTTGATACAAACGCGAAATCTGTGCACTTGATGATATCCAGTTGACCAGAAACGATAACAGTATCCATTACACGACTCAAGAATGTCTCTTCCCAATGTCGTCCCATCAGATGAAATATGTTGCCGTGTCCAACATTTTACAAGAAATGATCGTGAAATCCCCATCCCCGTTAATAACTCTTTGCACGGGCCGGACCAACTTTTGTCTTGTCCTCGTCGTTGATTTTATGAAGACTCGTCGTAATTGCAAAGGCTTGTCCATCTTTGTCAGCATTCATTGTATTTGCTGCTCACTCGGTATGCTTGAAACCACGCACTCAGAGTCTGTAGGAGGTAAATTCATTTGTTATAAGCCATTGCGTATGCAAATTTCTTTGCCTGCCCAATTTATTAATGTCAACTTGACCATTAAAATTTTGCTGGGTGGTTGGTGTCGGTGTGTGTCGAATGTTGGGATCACACATATCTGTAAATTTGCACTCTGCCCGTTGAAAAAAACCCGTTCCTTGTTAATGTAGCTAATAAGTAACGTATTGCGTGAATTATTGACTCAACTTTTGTCATGTTGTCTGACTTGAATGGGAGAAAGGGAAACCAAATGTTGATGACGAATCTGGTCCATTGTGCAGTAATCAACGAGGAAAATTAAAATTAAAAATAATCAGACACCGATATTTCATATTACTACTTTCAATCTCTCCAGGGCTTTAATTGCATAATTGCGAGCTTAAATTTCATTGGTCAAATACTTTGAACTGCGTTATACTAGGTCTTTTAACCTGAATTCTTAATGCATACAGGTATGAATGTACATAATATTTAGTAGGTAGAGCGCGTCTTATACTTTTTAGTTGATGATCCAGATATTTCAGCGTTGTTGGTCCAATTTTCTAAATTTTTGGGTTGAGTGTTATATAATACACAAAGCTTTTATGACCTAATGACACTGGCCAAGGAAAGGGAAAATAAGATGAAAGTGAGCAATTACCAGAACCAAAGCAATTTCAGAGTTTAACGAAAACTTTTTATTATTGCTGCTCATTGCTATTATTACTCGCATTCCAAAAATATTGAAAGGAAACTGTGTTCCAGTTTCTCACTTCCAAGCTCAAAAAACTTCAGATTACGTATATTGAGAGAACGAAGCATAATCAATCTTATGAATCTTTGGACTAATACCAACTTTTTTCGACTTAGAATCGAGTCTCACCTTTTAAACAACAGATTAGTTTCCCAGATTATGTTGAACCTTTTCACAAGAAGGAAGAACAAGGGAATGATTTCACGCACTTCCACTTACTCACAATTTCTTATCTTTCACTTAATCTCACCCAATAACATCATTTTTAGAAAAGTCAATAAAAGTGGTCTCATAAAATCCCTGAAATAATATAAGGTGAATAAAAAAGGTGCATTTTCTGCTTGAGTTTCTGAACGCTTCTCGTAAATGTAGTTCAATTAAGTGGTGCCAATGCCAACTAATTGCACCCACAAAGCAAGCAAGCTTACCCAAAAGCTAAACCGCTAAAATGTATCGGTATGCTATGCCATTAACAAAAAACGACTGGAGTCATGCAAGTAAATAATTCCTGTTCTCCAACCCTCGTGGTGAAACTATGACTTTTTATCCTTTTGTGAATCTTGAGGTAAAACACCTTTTTCACCGACGCTCGTAAACCCCTCAAGGGGTTGACGGGGTCAGACGAGGAAAGACGAAATTGGTAGAGTGTGTTCAGGACTCTGTCGGTATTTTTGTGGTCACGTCTCCTCGTGTACTTGTTCGATTTTCTCCCTTATCTTACAAGTGATCACGAAAGGTTTGCTGTTGGTGGGTGCTCGGGAGAGACGCGACGCGTCGTCACTATTGCTTAGCCTTGGTTATAATTCCATAATATCATACTGTTCGTTCAAAATTAATATGCAGTAAAGTCCTCAAAATTTTGTAAAAAGTCAAATGGTCGAAGTTGCTGGTTGACATTGACAACGATTTAATTAGGTACATTTTGTCTACTTTTTCAATGAATATTAGGTGAAATTTGGAAAATATAAACAAACTCAATCAATGGAAACCAATCATCCGCCAAATAACCTTTCAGACTTTTTACTGCATATTAATCTTGAATGAACAGTAGCTAAGTATTCCACTATTTCTAGAGCTTGGGCGAATAAGTTTCCAGAAAATGAATCATAAAATATGCATAAGACCGACCTAACATTTTGAACCTGGAGTAAATAATCAGGAGAAGGCAAGTAGATTTGGTAGACCTACTTCTGTATGCCTTCAATAAGTTGGAGAGCTGAAGGGACCGGACTGATTGAAGCTTTTAGCAACCCACACGCACTATCTGTGTTATTGCTCTCAACTTTTCGCCGTCTCAACTTTCCGAAGATAATTGCCACCTTCCTCAGAATCCAATCTCTCGCTAATGCAGTTCAGGTTGGAGTGATTCCTCTATGTCCTCCTTGTCTCGCCTTGTTTTTGATAGTAGTTCAAGTCTACCGAAGGATTCAACCCCCTCCAAAGTCGGACTCCATTATCCCTCGAAAATATAGTGACTCTGACCACTTCACTACCATTTTTCGAACATAAACTAAAAGGCGCACTGCCAGGAGTGAACTACTCCCACTTTTGTCTCTCCTTTGATAAAAGCATACAGTTTTGGTTCTGAAAGGTACTATCCATTTCAGGAAGTGAGACGACCTATCAGTGTAATATAGACGGTTTCATCACCAAAGTGGTGGCCAGGTTCGTTCCAGTCTGAAAGTCACAAAGTCAAAGTGCAATCAAGCAAATCAAGGTTTGAACAAGTCTGTAAATAAAGTCAACCGCAACTAATACGAAAGAAAACAAAAGCACACCTGTGCATGCATCCATCGATTTGAGTTGCCTTCCCTATAATTTTCATTAGTCAGATTTCAAGTGGCTACAAAAGCACTACGATTTCCTTCCATCATCATCCCTTAAAATTGTTAGTAATGGATTCGTCAATATTTCACGAGACGAGAGACGCGCTCCGCTCGTAATACCTGTCCTGACATTTTGAAGGAGTCAGAGAGAGAGAGTGGGTTAAGTGGAAAAAGTTCACCCTCTTTCAATTGGAATGGCAGGTAGGCCACGAGAAAATGTGCCCACACGGGTGGTCATAAATTCAAAATTAAATTTTCTACCCTTCCTGGCAAATCAATGATATAGTTTTTAAGACTTTTACAACTGTGTCAGTTGAAAAAGAAAGTAAATTAGTTTAACTATACGTAAAAGGTCTCAAGAAGGAAACGGTAAGAATTCCAATTACATAACAAATAAAGAGTGGAAAAATATCACGGTGCATTGTTAGGACTTTATGCCACTAATTACTCACTGCCTGTTGACTACTATTTGGTAGTACTACACATGTCAGTGGTAGAAAATAGTGATGGAATTTTTAAGGGGTCTGTGTGGGAAGGGTTGACTTGGCGATTCGATTGTTAACCTCGCTGGATTGCATCTTCTTGACTTGACTCCTTCGTAGTCCTCACATCGTCTCAACTCCTCGTCAAGTGTAAATTCCTCGCTTGTGAGAGACCCTTGAGGCATTTATTTAGGCAGGTCCAACTTTTGGTGGGCATAAAAAATAAATTTGTACGTACATTCGTTGGCTGGGAAGATGCATGCAATGATTATCTGCTGAACTTGAACTACGAAATGGAGTCCTTCCCCAATAAATGCTGCTTGCGTAGCCGAAGGGTTTGTAGATCTCAATTGTAAATTCTACGGAAATCTAAATTCGAGGAAAGATAGATATGCCTCCGGAATTTATGACATTAATATGCCAAACTATGATTATTATCCATCTCGATCCAATATACGCTGGAATTTGGCCCTTGTCTCTCTACCTACCACAACCCCAGGTGCTGCTATTTGGTGAGCAACGCTAAGAAATAAACTACTGGGGGCAAAAAGCAGTTTATGGTTCATGTTTTGAAAGATGAGACTTCTTGTCCATGTTTATGGTGAGACGAACTTTTGGTCCATTTTCGACTTTAGTTTCAACTTGCTCACCGACCTTTCTTAACCCCACGACAACCATACTCCTTCGGGTTCTTCCCCTTCCTTGTTTTACGGAATTGGATCGACTTGTCTTGCACCCGGACTTCTGGTCTAGTCACATTCTTCTTCTTTGGGTGTCCATTTTTTAGCTCGAACTGGGCCTTATGGGACCGTCATGTCCGTTTGTCGGTCGAACAATAGCGTGATTTACTCGATTGACTTTTGGACATACTTAGGATTAGCTGTAGTACACATATTTACGAGTTCCAAGATACATGAATCATGCACGTACTTTTCTAAATTATGAAGAGATGAAATGACTGGCTCGGGCATTCGAAGGCTGAACTCTAGTTTTTTTTAAGAAAAAGGAACCGACTTTAAAAATGTGGAGATTAGTGTCGGACTGGACTTATTTCTAATCTCCATCTGGACAATATTTTTACTCTTTAAATCCAAATTAGCAAGCCAACAAAGCTACTAAACCGCCGCCTACGCCGTACTTCTACATAAGCGTTCTAGGCTCCTCTAAATCCGAACTATAATAAAGCCAGGCCACGCTTTGACATCTGCAGCCCAACCCATGACAAACTAATATTCGAGTTGTCTGACTGCCACCACTGCCCAACAACTCGTACATAATTCGTTTACTTCTAATTTTATGTGCTGGGCAGAGTCCACTCCATTTTACAGAATTGTTTATTAGTACATCACTCCACACACAAGTCAACTAATAAGCAGTAAAAAATGCAGCAACCACATTCACTGGAAAAGTAAAGGCAATCCTACAATTTATATTACGAACGAAAATTATTTACTCAACCACCTTCACGTATTCTTCTGTGTACATTATTACAACATGTATTGAGGCATGACGCATAAATAATGTGGATGTAAAATAAGAACCACTCCACTGTTTTCGTCTGTCTGCTTCTTTGGGTTGACGACAAAAAATCTCTTCTGGAGCGTAACGCCTAACCAACAACCCACCAATATTGCCACTCACTCAACGTATGCAATCATCGAATCTTGGCTTTTCGGTCATGGTTGTCTCCCTCCTTGGTTTTCTGTGCATGTACTTTTATACTTACGAAATCCCGTGCTAATGGGACAAACTTATCGTGGAGGAAGGTGTCAGATGGACAACAGGTCGAAAATTTTACTCGCTTGAACTCTGCTTGTGTGTGTGGTGCGTATTAGTGCTTGTTGAATCAGTGATACGGCACGTTCGCTTTTTTACATGTTGGGCTGCATTATGTCATTTGTACAATCATACCAAGAAGGCA